AGTTAAATTATTTTAAAATATGTTAAATTAAGAAACTTTAATAATTAATTTGTTTTAATTTAATGATTATTTTTAAATAATTATTATTTCAAATTATTTTAAAACTCTTTTAAATGCTTTAAACTTCATAAATTTATAACTAATTCATTTTAAATCAGATTTTTATGCACAATAAATTATTTTGTTCAGAAAATTATGTACTTTCATAAAAGGTAAAAATTATTTTTACGATTTATTTCTATATCATTTTACTACTTTCATTATTAAACTATTTTTTAAATAATTAAATTAATTATTTTAAAATTAAAAATTATTTTCAAATTATTTATAATCCTCTCTCGGGGGACCAGTGGATCTCTCATGAGTATGAACATTAAATTATTTTGAATTATATTACTTTGAAACATATGTATTTCTGCGCTAATAAGTATGGGTGTTTTAAAACATTTTAAAATTATACCTATTTTAAATTCCCTAATTTTGAGAGATCCACTGCATAGAATTTTAAACTTAGATCATGCTTATTAATAGAATTAATGGGGGAGATGAGATTAGTGTGTGATGGAGTTCCAATCATTCACTAATCACATCATAAAGCATGCTTAATTATTATTTTTGTCGTCTCTTGCATGTGTAAGGTACACGAGCACTTAGCTTAGGCCCTCCTAGATATAAGGACATGATGTGTTTATTATTTTTATGCATTACTTGCATGTTATCCTAAGGGTTAGTCATTAACTTTGATTTTAAATCTATTCAACATAGTGACACCTTAAGGATAATAATTTATGACTCATCTAGCAAACTTAAAAAAAACTTGGGAGCTAGGATAGATCTCAGATTAACATGAAACTTTCAAAATTTAAACTTTGTAACATCCTAAACCTCTTAAAATTTTCTAGAATTTTTTTGGAACATTTAGACCCCTTAATTAATAAACCCTAATTTATGCGTTAATTAAACCCCGATAACTTAAAAAAATCTAATAAATCTATTTCAACTCAAAAAATTACTTGTAATACCCCAAACTAATTAGAATTTAATTCTTAATCTCAAATAATTAGGGCCCTTTAATTGGACTTTAATTTGAATATTAATTTAACCTTAACTAAAAATCACCTTTTTCCTTAATTAAATAACTAAAAATTCTAAATTTTCTCAAAACACTTGGGAACACTTCTTTAGATCATTTCAAACCTTTGGGGGTGATTCCAATAAATTTAGAGTTGATTTGAATCAAAACTCCTAAAACACTCTTTATTAAACAATTTCGATAATTCATTAATTATCCAAAACTTCCAAAATTCATAGCTTGGCCTTGAAAACTTCAAATTTAGCAAACGCAAAGCCTAATTACTCCCCTAAAGCTCTAATATTTAACTAAAATACTAAAACCCTCGAACTTAGCCTGCTTCTGATAGTAACCTTTTGGACCCCCCTTAGCCTAGCGTACGTATAGGAGGACCCTAGACCTTCTAAAAGTGGCTAATATAACTTAAACTTTAAATATCACCATCCTAAGTATTAAAATTGATCCACAAACTAAATTAATTAAAATGGACTCCAATTCATTAATACTTAAACTTTAACTAAATTTTTCCTTTTGACCTTCAACAAATCTGAACTATAGGCAACTTGAATAAACTACCTGGTATAAGAACTATCTAAAGCCACACAAGCCTACTACACAGATAAAGATTTACTAGGGCACCACTTCTAGCTTTAGGATTAGGGCTGGTATTTTACTTTTTGTTATTTCTGTGATATGATACGATTGTGTGTGGCATGAGTGTTGATTGATTTAATTGATATGATTTGTTATGATGATGTTTATTTTATTATTATGCTTTTTACACTTTTTTTCTATGTTTTTTTCTTGTATGTGTGTGGCATGTTTTCTCTAAGCTCTCTCTTAGGATAAAATTATTTTTTTACTCGTAATTAAATTCTAAAATTTTAAGAATTAAATAATATAAAAACTTAATGAGCTTGGGAATTGCCAGAATAATCAGGGGTCGCATGCATATTAATGCATTCTCTCCTCCCTTATATAAGACACTTCTTTGCCTGCGAGTAGAGTTAGGATAATATGGCCTATGAGGATGAGGTGTCAGACCTAGGAAAATCTAGTATTTTTCTAAAAATTATTTTCTATAAGCCTTTTTAAAATTCCATGCATACTTGATTTGATGTATTTTAACCAGCATGCATTACATTAGAAACTCATTAAATTAAAATTTTAATTATATTAACTTTAGGAGCATTCACCCTACATAAGCCTGAGGCCAATTAGAAAACTCTCTAGACGTCGGCCTTACTTCCAAAACTCAGCCTACCTATCCATTTTTCATAAAGATCGGATAGCATGAATTTTATACGCTTAGGTGGCTAGTTGACTTTCTTTTTCAGACAGGATATAAGTCTAGGTGCATTAGCTAGGATACGGGTGTTAGTATTGGGTGTAGAACACTAAACCAATTCTAGATTTAGGGTCCAATGCTACTACATTCAGTGTCTCATAGTACGCCTCATCGGTGGATAAGCTTCTTTTCTTCAGTGACTATAAATCCTGCTTATTTGCATTACGTAGATGATGCCACTTCTATCTTTTCTCTCTACATGCTTTGAGTGCATTATTTTCTTATCCTCTAATCTCTTTGGTGCTTTAGTCCCTTCGGATACTGAGATGAACTGTATATGTTGACTAAACTGAGTTGAGCCCCTTTCTTTTCCTTTGACTAAGATTTCCTAATCTCTCCTCTGTACCAATCCCTTTTTTTGGAAAGAATTATATCATATCCTTAATCGAGAGTATTCTTGGGCTCTAGCCTGAGATGTAATTAATCATGGGGGCTTGCGCCCATGGGAAACAAAATTCCATAATAATTAAACCTCACTGGAGCTGATGTATCGGATGGGGGAAACCACGTGACACTGATCAGATCGTGTATATTATCATCCATTGGGGTGCGCTGGCAAGAGCCACTATATATCCTCAATGGTATATCACATATATGATCTAATATGCCCTCCCATTGGCCCGCTTGCAAAGAGCGTGGAGGCCTGCGATCATTTCTATCCATAGGGGTGGTGCGGTCGTACACCCTCTACACTGTAGGCGGCAGATCCCTTTCGCGGGTCCACAAGCATGCAAGAAGCAAAACTAAAATTAGATCAAATCTTCAACCTCAGTATATAAAATTCTAGATTTCATTAGGACAACTTTTGGTAACTACTTTTTAACTATTTTTAGAAAAAAAAATTTACCAAAAAATTACTTTAGAAAGTTGCAATAAAGTTGTCCCAAACAAAGCCTTAGATTTATTCCTTTGGGCAACTTTCAATTTGACATAAAAAAAGAAACATACCATCAAACTCTCTAGTCTGGAATAAGTATTATTATATAGTATGTCATTTCCCTCAAACTACATATTTGAAATGATACACCTAACAATAAACAAGTATGAATTTTGAGTCATATACAATGCAAGACTTGAAAAAGAGGAGCTTCTAAATGAAAGAAATTTCCATCAAGTAGAAGTTTTCTGATAAGCCAATGGAGTGGTCACCTTCAAAAAATAAATTAATCATTTTAGGCATTCTAGCTATTTTAAAGAAGTGGATAGCCTTGGTGGACTGCCCACCCACAAAGTCTTACGTTTCTTTAAAAGATTTTAAGCTAAAACCAACAAGTCCAGAAAACTTATCATACCCATAATAAACATTGCCTCTTTCATATAGATATAAAGATCAATGAATGGGCGGTTGACATAGAACAATCATTCTCGCTAAGCATATGATTTCAATTAGAGGTGGCCTGAAAGTTAGAGATAACAGGTTAATTGAATAGTTTGGTGATGCATTTTACCATCTCCTTTGAGATATCTTTCTTCATGTTGAAACTATCATTTAGGGAGCACATATCTTTAATGTAATTATGATTATCATCTTCCAATTATTTGATAAAGGACTTTCATGTCGTCCTCATTAACAAGCCATTGCACTTTGGATGTTTGAAATATCCAACTATTTTTAGTGTTGGATGCAAATATAAGATTATATATGTAATAACAAATATTTTAATCTTGGTAAATAATTTTTTTGGACTCAATATAACTCCAAATTGCAAACCGTATTTTCCATAACATTGAGTTGTGGTATTTTAATTGCATGATTTTTTTTGTATTTTTTTGGCACCGATAAAAATTCTTAAGAAATTGGTACATATCGATACAAGTGAGGATTTTATGAACATCATGTGTGCATTTTACAAACTGATTTCACCAATATTTTTTAAATAAAATGATTTATTTATGAATATTTTTCAATAATTTTGAAGTCCTAAAATAATTTATTTGAATTTATACTAAAAGAAATTGATTAAATTAATAATATAATATTAAAATATTATTTTTAATTAACATATCTAAAGTCACTAAATCATTTTAAAGCATTTCCCTTCTCATTTTCGGCTAAGAGAGAGATCTTTAGGAATTTGAGAGAGAAATTTGATAATATAGAAAAAAAGTTAAGATTTAAATGTTGTGGAGCAATTTTTGTTAGTTGAGCCAGTAGGGAGAATTGCTCGTATCACTGTAAGGAAGGTCAAATTCTTATCTTTTGCTGGGAGAGTGCAGTTTTTAAAATTTACTATTTGCAATACCATTGCTTACTGGATTCGTGGAAGCATTTTGCCAAAAGCTTGTTGTAAAATGATTTCTAAATTGTGTGCCAAATTCTTGTTTTTTGGTAACATCAAAGAGAAAAAACTGCACCTCATATCTTGGACTACTGTTGCTTCTCCTAAGTGTAAAGGTGGACTAGGTTTACCCAGTTTTGATGCTCTTTATCATAATTTGGCTTGCTCTTTCCTGTTTAAGATGTTTAACTCTGATAATATTCTGGGTCATTGGTTTAGGGAGAAATTTGGTTCCCCTTGGAAACCTTGCCCACCTAGTGCCTCTAAATTTTGGAAATTATGCTGCCTCAAAGCTGTTGGTATGAAAGATTCTGTTACCTTGGCTGTGAAGAACAATAGTAATCTCTCATTTTTTTGGGATCCTTGGTGCAGCAAAAAATCATTGGCTGAGCTATCTTGCCCTTTGTCCTTCTCTAGCTTGAAACTCTCTGATGTCTTTGCACTGGATAATTGGATTTTGCCTGCTGGGTTGCCTGCTGATATTGCTTCTCAAATTTTGCTGGTTAATTTTAGCTCTATGCCTAACACCATTAACTGGGATGGTGTTGTTTCTCCTTCAAGGTTTATTTTCTCTAAATCATACTTCTCTTTTATGGATGATGTTAACTGGGCAAAATTTGTTTGGACTAAGGGCTATGCTTTGAGGTACGCGTGCTATGTCTGGATGGCTTTGCAAAGCAAACTTAAAACTGCTGATCAGCTTATCTTTAGAGGAATTTCTGTTTCTGCTGCTTGCTCATTTTGTGCTTCTAATCGTGAAAGTCACTCGCACTTGTTCTTTGAATGTGACTTTAGTTTTAATATTATTACTGCTCTGTTTCCTGTTATGAAAAGTTTCTACCTCAGACCGAATTTGCTTCAGGTCTATGATTTCTTGAGTAGTATTAGAGATTTTAACAAAATTGATGTTCAGTTTTGCTTCTTGGTTATCTCTATCTTGGTTTACTGGATTTGGAGGGAGAGAAATGGCAGGAAATTCTCTTCTTTAAGAAGGAATAACATTGAGCTGTTGCGTGTGATCATTCATGCTATTAGAGCTAAGGTTATTAATTGGAAGCATTATGATAGACTCAAAGATAAATTCAAAGAGATTCTGGACTGAGGTTGGAAATTGCTGGTACTGTGGGCTTTTTGCTGTTGTTATGGTGGTTCAGTGCTGTATTTCTCTATGTACTATTGGCCCGTTGATTGGTTGCAGTCGGTCTGGCTGGACAATGATGAAGCTCCCGCTGAGTTCCTTGGATGGCCTTTGGGCAACCAGGACTCATAACAATCATATATATTATTCTCTGAGTCCAGATAGCCTCTTTTGGGAGCTCGTTTTGGTTTTGCTTTTGCAGATCTGGACTGAAGGCTGTTCATCATTTTCTTCCTGCTGCTCGTCGGATCTTCTTGCTGAAAGCTGCTTGTTTAATCTCTTCTTTACTACCATTTTGGTTCATAATGTAATTTTTTGTTATGATTGGGTGGTATAGTTGGGGTTTTTTTGTCTTCTCTTCCTCATAAGAACTTTTCTTGTTGTTCTTATGTTGGATTCTTTTCTTTTTACATGTAACTTCTTTTTTTAATATATGGGCTGTGGCCTCAAATTTACCCAAAAAAAAAAAAATACAGAATGTCGGTTCCGTGTGCGCCTTTAGGGTTGTGGAAATAAACTTTTGACCTTCATAATTGTTATTTTAATTGTTTAAATATCAAAATAAATAAATCTATAAATAATGGGCAGAATAAATTCTTTAAAAAATGTATGCATTTATTAATATATAATTTTAAATTTTAAAAATAAAAAATAGTATCCTAACCCTCTAAATCCATTTTAGTTTTTATATTTAGAAATATAAAAATTACACAATTCTTATTTTTAATTACTCTTTTTCTCTCGTACATTTATCCTTAATTTCAAAAAAAAATCAAAATTTCATTTAAAATAAAACGTTGTCATTATATTATGATTATTGTATAAAATATCATTTTTTTATGTTATATTAAAATTAATACATCCCTAGAAGATTTATTTGGTCAGCGTAAGATTTTTAAAATTAAATTCATGATCATCCAAATTCATATTTAAACAAACTTATAATTAAATTAAATATTTTACGAGATAAAGGCATCGACACCACAAATATATAATCTCTTACAGACTTTTAACTATGGTGTTGGATATTTCTATAAAACTAAGATATTAAATACCCTATCATCATAAATTTCCTAACATAGAATAAGTATATTAAATTTTGAAATATTTAGAATTCACCCTCATTAATTTTAATATATTTGAAAATCGTTAGATTTGTCAAGGTTATGGATACACTACAATTTATTTTCCATATAGGCCCTTACGACTATTATAGTCCTACGGCTATATTTTTGGTCTCATTAGCCTTTTTTTGTGCTTTAGCCTTGTGTTGTATTGGTCTTTCTTCGAATAATTATATTAAATTTTAAAGGATTTGTAGCCTTTGAAAATCAATTAAAATTTTTAGGGTAGAGATATCAAAATGAGCTCAAATTTGGTGAGTTGACTTTGGAGACATATCTAAGAAAGATGCAACTGATATACCTTAAATCATATGTCATTTGACTAGGTTTCAAGGCGGTATAAAAACCATCCATAAAGGGTTTCGGGACCTTAGTCCTTAACTCTAGGATTTGATTTGAAATCTTGGGTTAGGATATAATTTTGCACTTGAATGGTTGAATTTGAATTATCCACATCAATGACAGTCAAATAAAAAATTGAAATTAATTGGATATGATTTGAAGGTTGATTGAAAGTTGGTTAAAAGCTGGACTAGAGCTTAGGAGTGTGAAAATTGGATTAAAGCATGAATTAGAAGATGGATTAGGATTTGATTAAGAGTTGGATTGAGTTTTGATTAGGACCTATATGACTTCCAACTGGGCACTACCGATCATTAGGTCAATAAAAGAAAACCTTAGTAGGTTCCGGTGACCTCATACAGAAATGAGGTCAACATTTTTATAAATATTTTTCTGAAAATTCGTAACATCAAGTTTAGTTTAGTTTACAGGGTGATTTTCCATAATGTACAAGGTTTAGTGGCATAGATTTTAAATATTTGAAGGTTTTATATTCTTTAAAAATTAATTTAGTTTTGAGGGTTAGGAGGCTTGAAAGGCTTCCAATTTGATATGATTGACCCTAAGAATATGCCTAATCAATATGCAATCAACTGATCATGAATCTAAGGTCATTTGATAGGGTTTTGAACGATTTGAATTTCCCTAAAAATTATTTTTGACCAAGGGATTTTTTATTTGGATTTGAGTATTTAATTTTAGATTTTGTAATTTTTATGAGTTCTTTTATTTTGATTTTATGTGGGATTGAATTTGATTTGATATTATTGACCTCACATAAAAATGAGGTCAACATGTTTCTATTAACAAAAGAAATTATCCTATAGTAGCTAATGATAATGACCATATAAGAGAACTTTTTCCCTCTATACAATCATAAATATTTTGTATTTTGAGTGCAACAAGGAAAAATAAATCTTGCTTTTGTGTTCCACCCAGGTAATAAGCCACAAGTAGGAAAATCACTAATAGTTTACATTATGGCAACATGCATATTAAAAGTTTGTCTAAATGTTGTATCATAACATTGAACTCCATGTCATAATCCACACAACTCTTGTAGTACAACACAAAGAAAGCAATTGCTAAATTAAACAATTTGATTTTTATAAGTAAAAGAGAAACTATATATTACAACTCAAAATTTTGAAAATAGCATTTTTACCTACAATAGTCAAATTTTTATTCAGAAGTCATTATAAGCTCAAATCATAAATTTTATTCTCAATAACATCTCTATTATTGTGTTTTATTTTTTTAATTTTTGAATAATTTATAGGCACTAGTGAAATTCATTAATAAATTGGCACCTAACGGTTCTAATTTACAAACTGACTTCACTAGATTTTTTTAAATAAAATAAGTTATTTTATGGATATTTTTCTATAATTTTTAGAATCTCTAAAAGAATTTTTATAAATTCTATACTAAAAATTCATTAGAATATTATTATTATTTTATTAAAACATTTGAAGTCACTAAATATTAAAGCCATTTAAATCCCATTCGTTTCCAATAACAGAGAAAACATTAATGAAAATGTGAAGAAAAAGAGAGAGGAGAAAGAAAAGTTTAGTTTTTGGCCATCATTGAGTGATTTTCATCCGTCAACCTAGTTGAAAAATTTGCTCGTCTCGAGATAGGTTATGTTTTGCCTATTTCAAATTTTAATAATTTATATTTTTGACATTTTTCCGATCAAATTTATATTTTCATTACCGAAGAATGATGATAAGTTTATTTTTGTAAAACTTTTTCTATGTTATAGAGATTGCGTTTACGAATATTTTGAATATATTTTGAAAAATTTTTGCCAAGTGGTTTTGAAAAAGTAGAGATTTTTACGTGCTTAAAAAATTATTTTAACGTCTAAAAATAGTGCTTCTGTTTAATTAAAGCTTCAGAATGATATTTTACATAATTTGTGAAAAATTGTTATGTTTGGAAATTATGAATTTTTACTTATTAGTATTTCTATTGTTTACCATTGGGATATTTTGGTATTTTTTTAATTCAGTCCAATTATTATTTAATTAATGATATATTTTGAAAAATATGTTATGAAGTGTTGTTATGTGATCAAGGTCGGAACCCTTCAATGCCTAGGGGGGCAATTGACCCCCCCTAAAAAAAATGAAAATTTTGTTTATTACATAAATTTTTAGGTAATTTGTCCTCCTCCAGCTTTTTTTAACTCTTTATTATAGGAATCATCAAGCAATTGCCCCCCCCTAAAAAAATTAAAATACTATGATCTTTAGGCGATTTCCCCCTAACAGAATTATACACATTATGTAGAAGGGTTTTTACAAAGATTTTTAGGCAATTGTCCCCCTAAAAGTTTTAAATTACTACGATCTTTAGGCAATTTTCCCCAACACAATTAAACACATTGTGTAGAGGTGTTATTGTTAGGGAATGATGAACAAAATACAAAGAGAAATAGCAAAGAGAATTCAAAAATATCCTTACAACCAAAATTGCCCCTTGACCCCGCGACCTGACCGGGCAGGTCGAACCCCATCAGAGGGCGCTACCCCATTAGAGCCCCAACATATTGTGTAGAGGTATTACCTAATTTTTGTTTAAGAATAATTGTCATTATACAACATGTTGATGATATTTTTAAAATATATTATATATTCATGTACAAATAACCATTAATCACTAAAATGATATACATATGAAAAAAAATCTCTACACTTTTACTTATAAGGTTGCCTCCCCTGAAAATTAAAGCTGGTTTCCGCATTGGATGTGATGTCAGCACTAGTGGATAATCGATCGAGGTGAGATTCTATTATGCTGGCGCTAGTGGATGACTGAGGTGGGAATATGTTATACTAACGCCAGTTGGCAACCGAGGTAGGATTATATTATGCCGACTCCAATGGACAACCAAGGTAGAATTTTGTTATGCTAGTGTGATTCTGTTACCTAAGTATTGTTATACCGGAGCCATTGGGCTACTAAGGTGGGATTCTGTTATGAAGTGTTTGTTTGTAATTAAGTTTATTTTAGTATTTATTTAATTGTATTTAATTTCATTATATGATTCAACAAAGTGTTCTCTGTTCTTTTGGTTTTGTTTATTAATTTTTGTTTTAAGCTATAATAGCCTATTGAGCCATGTTACCTCATTCTTGCTTTTGCTTTTGTTTTTAGACATAAGGAAGGGTAAGGAGCGAGTTGAGCAGTTTGGATAGCACGCCCTGATCTGTGTTGTAACTATGTTTTAGTTAGTTTTGATTTTTGCAGGCTTGACTTTTATTTTTGTTATGCTCTATATTGCCAAGCATTGTTATAAATATATTTCAAATTGTATATTTTTTTAATAATATATAAAACATTTATGTTAAGATTCAATAATCTTCCGCTTTATGTTATATTCAACTATGTAGTATATAAATTGAAAGTTTTATTTCAGTATTTCTCCAACTAGATCTTGGGGTCAATTTTTTCATAATTAGACACGGTATGAACTGTGTGATATCGGGACATATCGGATCGGGTTGTGACACTACATCAATGAGCTCATTTGCTTGAGCAACTATAACCAATACAAAGTAATATAGGTTTACCGCACATACATATCTAGAAGCTTGGAATGTTTGACGCTAAGCTTGGAATATCATGCCTAACAATGTTAAATTCCTCCTAAATTTCAAAGTCTCATAACCAAGATTTATCCTTTTAACAAGTGTGAAATTAGCACCAAAGGCAAATATTAGGGACACCCTTTTGATTTTCTTGTCAACAAGAACTAACATAAAGCATGAAATATAAAACACCAAAAATAATCAAAAATAATAAATAAAAAATTTTACAAAAAAAAGGATACCATTTTTTTTTTTTTTTTGTGTGGTGCTCAAGCAGTTGAGCGGTGGCAGTGGCATTGAGATGGAGGTGGTTAGTCATTGTTACACGATGCTCTATTAAAGGAGAGGAGAAAGAGAAGAGAACAGGATTGTAATGGGGCACTAGAGTTGAGAAAATGAGAAATTAGAGCTATTCTAAACATTATTTGCACAGATTATAGTGGTAGTTTACACTGTCGTTGAAAGCACTCTATAATCGCTGTTCTAAAAATGCTATTATCAAGTGCTATAAAAAAAATCTAATTTTTGCTAGTAATTGTTCTTTTGATTTACCTTTTGTTTGTGATGACTTCTTTCAATAAAGTTTTTGAGTTTATCTATATTTAACTATATTTCAAATTGATGTTCAAAATATAAGGAGATTGCATGATGTGAGTGATGTGTAGTTATATATTTGTATTAAGTTCATCTTACTTCTAAGAGATCTAACTATTTGTATTAGTAGCTTGTGTTCTTGAGATATAAAGTAAAGATTATTTGAATTAGTTTGCCTCTTGTAACATTCTTTTGATTTATCTTTTGTTTGTAATGACTTCCTTCAACGATTTCTTAGAGTTTAGCCTTTAAACTAAATGTAAGATTGATGTTTAGAAATCTTTTGATATGATTTAGAACCTAGGCATTATTCTACGTGACACTATTTACAAGATGATTTAGGTTTCATTTGGGATTGCTTTCTTATTACTTAAAGTAGCTTTCTAGTTTAAAAATTTTGATTTTTATACTAGAAAACTGCTTTAAGAAATAATAAGAAATGCGTCCCAAACGAAACCTTATACGAGAGATCTCAAAACTTTGCTTAGAGTTTTTTGAGTGGAATTATGGTGGATGTAGAAACATTGTAGTATTAATATTTTTTAAGTTTGTGATTTGGTAAGTGTCTAAATATGATATAATGTAGCTCATCTTGATCTTTTGACTGGGAGCTTTGACTATCAACTAAAAGATTTTGGGTTTAAGTCTCGCATATGTGATGTTTGTTTGAGTTTGCCTTAATTGGCCAAATCATTCCCGAAGCCTTAGCATTTAGTGACCATAATGAATTAAAAAAAAATTACACTTTTGCACCTTCTAAAAGCTCTTAATACAAAAAAAAAAAAAAAAAGTTTTTGTATCAACAAGCACATTTAGCTACAAACCATTAAGCATGTTAATGTTCAAAGCTTGTAGCTTATCTTAAAGCCTGTTTAAGATAACAGTGTTTTATAAAGTTAGCTGTGAAGTCTAGCTGTAAAAAGTAGTTTTTTACCTCAAAAAAATTATAAAAATAACGATAAATTAATAGTCTAATGAAATTATGGTTGCAGTCTGAAAAGTAAAATATTTAGAAAGTTATCTTAGGCATTGTTTGGAATTGCCTTCTAAACCATCTTTTTAGTATAAAAAACTATTTTTTAAGATTAAAAAAATGCTTTAAAAACTGTAAAATCTAAGCTTTAAACTGACCTTAGTCTATTGATTGAAAATCTAAGCTCCATTTAAGAGAAAATCTCAAGAAAAATTGTAAAAATTAAAAGCAAAGCTTTCAATACAAAAATATTTAATAATTGTTACCATATTTTGAATATTTGATGAAGGGAAAGAATCCGTTTCCCTAAGTAAAGAAAATTTAATAAGATACGATTTTGTTGACTAAGCTCATAGTTTTCAGGTGAGAAAAGACTGATTTTTATATCCGACGTATTAAAAGTTTGAAGTTTGATTAGCAATGAACTTACTTTCCTTATTAAATTATTAGGAAATTTTGTTGAAATGTTCTAACATATTTTTTATCTTTAATCTTTTTAAAGTATAACACATAATATTCAAAATTTCGAATTATATATTTGATTATTTTATTTTATTCAGATTATATATAATAAAAAATTTATGTCATTTTAAAAACAAAATATCAAGTTTTGAAGCTATTTAAAAATTATATATTGAAAAAACATTAAAAAAAAATTAAGATATAAAAATATTTGATACAATTCTATAAGTTCTTTATGAGCATTTCTTGATAATGCAGCACATATTAAATTATTTTCCTCTTTTGAAATGCTAAAGGGCATGTTTGTAACTAATTTAGGTTTTGTTTAGTACGGTTTTCCTATTTTGTACTAAAAAGCTGCTTTCAGAAGCAGAAGAAAGTCATCTCAAACGAAGCCTTAATGTGACATTGCGACCTGATTTACAACATGAATTGAAGCAGCTTTTGTGACGAATATTAGAGAAAGCTTCAAATTAAAAGATAAAAGATTAATGCTTCATTTGTGATGACTTTCTTACTGCTTCTTGAAGCAGCATTTTAGTTTAAAAATCCATCTCAATTAATGAAGCCTAAGACTAAGGCTTCATTTGGGACGGCTTTTTTATTGCTTTTTAAAACGGAGTTTTAGTACAAAAAAAAAAAATTGTACTAAAACTCCGTTTTAGAAAGCAGTAAAAAAGCCGTCCCAAACGAAGACTAAGGCTTCGTTTGGGACGGCTTTTTTACTGCTTTCTAAAATGGAGTTTTAGTATAAAAATAAAAAAAATTTGTACTAAAACTCCGTTTTAAAAAGCAATAAAAAAGCCGTCTCAAACGAAGCCTAAGACTTCATTTGGAACGGCTTTCTTCCTGCTTCTTAAAACAGGTTTCTAGTATAAAAATTTATTAGAAAGCTACTTTAAAAAGTAGTAAGAAAGTCGTTCCAAATGAAGTCTAAGGTTCTGTTTAAGACAGCTTTTAGCCTTTGTTTAGGACGATTTTTTTGTTGCTTTTAAAATAGTTTTTTAGTTTCAAAAATTTTATTTTTAAAAATTTGTATTAAGAAGTTAATTTAGAAATCAATAAAAAAATTATCCCAAACCAATCCTTTATCACTAATTTTTCATTTCTTAATTATATTAAAATTTATTTTTAAAAAAATAAAATAAAAATCCCATAGAAACCCCAAAGATGTGACGCGGCTATCAAAAATATTTTTTTCACCAAAATTATTATTTCTTTTTTACCCAAAAAAACAAAAAAATCAAAGTACAAAAACACAAGTCACACACTCCATCCCATGGAGCCCCTTTTGACCGGTCTCCTTCTTTCTCCCTCACCCTCTTACTAGTAAGAATACTCAAATCAACTCCCCCTCATTCTCCTCTTCTTCTATAATCAACCCATATTCCCCAAATCCTTCATACCCCCGTCTCCTTCTCTTGCTCCTCTAATGGCCGAATCCCAAGAAATTCACCTCAAAGTGCCCTATTACGGACCCCCAATCCCTCCCTCTCAAACTCCATCCCGCAATTGCCCCAAACCCCCCAAATGCAATTTCGACGCCTACTCCTTGCTCTGCACCATCACCAAGATCACCACCATCTTCCTCATCACCATCGGCATCATCGTCCTCGCGCTCTGGCTCATCTACCAGCCCCAAAGCATCAAGATCTACGCCGAATCGGCCGAGCTATCCACCTTCAATATCTCCCTCGTGGCCAACGAATCCCTTCTAGCTTACAACCTTGCTGTCAATTTCACCTTCCGAAACCCTAATCGTAAGTACAGCGTCTATTACGAGCGCATCGAGGCCCAGGCTTTGTACGCCGGGTACCGGATCGGATCCATCGGATACCCGCCGCTGCGTCAAGGGAGGAAGGACTCGATGCCGGTGATGGCGAGATTCGACGGCCGGACGGCGACGGAGGCCGCCGGTACTTATAATAGGGAGAAGGCGGAAGGCTTCTTTTATGTTAGGGTTAAGATGTATGTGACGGTGAGGTTGAAGATGATTGTTATAGAAAGTGTGAAATTCAAGCCGGATGTCGACTGTGAACTGAGGATTCCGGCGCCGGGAAATTCTACTTCTTTGGCTGCCGGATTTGTCAGAACAGAGTGCGATGTGAATAATTTCTCTTGAATTTCTTCCGGTTCAAAGGTTTTTTTTTTTTTTTTTTTTTTTTTTTTTTTTTGAATATCTTGTAGGGGTTGTTGGAGCTTGTTGTTGTATCATTATGAGTTTAATCAATGTTGATTTAATTTTGGTTGTAATTTGACTCTTTTGATTGATTTGTTTTGGTTTTATTATTTTTTTATTGATTTATGGGAATAAAATGATTTGGAATATTTTGTGATCATGATAAATTTAAAAAATTTATTTTATTTTAAAATAAATATCAAAGATGAGGAAGATTTTTTTTAACATGATTGATGAGCTCATTCATATAAAAGGATGACATTATATTAGAAGTGCTTTAATGAAGATAGAATATTATTTTATGAAATAAATTTGCTTAGGATATTTTAATAAAAAATGTTGTAAAGATTAATTTTTAAATTATTAATTTTTTTGTGGTAAATGTAATATAAAATTGTTATTTTTAATATTAACTAAAAATAATTTTAATTTCATATATATATATATAATCTCAAATTCTAATATTTATTTATATAATATTCAAATATTAAAATCACATCAAACATATCATTAATATTTATTTTTAAAAAATAAAAGATTTTTTTTCATATTAATATTTTGAAGTGATAGATATTAAAATATATCATGTATAAATATCCATTTAAATACTATAGAGGTAAATATACAAGAATAGTAAGGTAGATAAGGAATGATTTTCTTTTAGAATCTTCTCACAAAATTGATTAGAATAGGCTTTAAAATTTTTAGAATATTTTAAGATAAATATTGTTGCAATTTGCAAGTTCAAGTTTATGTTTCGATGATAGCAAATATTATTGAATTGTATTTAGTTTCTCCAATAATTTTCTATATGTACAAATGTTTCAGGCTCAACATACACCAAGCACCGCTAAAAGATCAGAACTCAAGATTGGGCAGCATATGTGTGATCTTTTTTTTTAAGACTTTGTAATCTTTATTTTTCTTGAGTCGTTATTTGTACAAGATATACGTTAGCTTAGCAACCATGCACACACACACACGGGGGAGTGTAAATGAAATATTTTAATTTCTCTAAAAATTATAAGGTATAGTGTTGATCGTACTAAACGATCAATAGAAACAAAAATTAATTAAAATATTTTATCTAAGTAAAAAAATTATTTTCAAACATAATTAATCATTCAACACAAATACCACATCGTATTGGACAATCAGTTCTAATCAGAAACCTCACCATTAATTAAATTAGGATATAATTTGAATTTGAATTTTGTTCTATTCATACTATACAAACTTGATCGTAACCCTATGATTAATCAATAGAATATGCATTAATTAAGTTTTTTTTCACAATGCACGAACTAAATC